GAACGCCAGGGACGGACTATGCCCAATGGTTGACAACCCAGAATTTTTGCATATATGACGATCGCAATCTGCCCGTATCAAAAGTAAGTTCCCTGAAGAATTTACCAACGAAAATACCCTCTTGGTTCAACTCGGTAAAATTAACAGTTTAGAAAATATTTGTGATTTTATGTCACAGTGCACATCGAGCAGCGCATCCACCATTTTTTGTTTGGACATAATTACTATGTTAGAACCTTATGTATTTTTAAAATAAGAGCCTAGGAAATCTTACTGTCTGCTAATGTAATTTTTTCACTAACAAAATTTGACAAACACACTTTACACATAACACAAATTAAAAAAACAATACTGGAACTGGAACAGGTTTGTGGCACTTCAGTGTCAAGCTGTTTGGTATCTGCAGTGCTCCGGCCATTTTCGAAAGAGATTATAGAGATTATTGCAAGGATTTACCTGGAAGACCTGTCTTATATGCCGCGACGAAGTTATATTAGACAAGTCCTTTAAAGAACATGCGAGGAACGTCGATGATGTTTTCAAGAAGATTAAAGGAGCTAATCTAAAATTGAATCCCGACAAGTGCATCTTCTTTCAAAAAGAATTGGAATACATGGGTCATGTTACATCAGCGAATTGTGTTACAACTGATCTGAGGAAATCTGAAGCTGTACGAAACTGGCCTATTCCAAAGGAGAAACATCAATTAAAAAGCTTCCTAGGTCTGTGCTCTTGTTACACGAGATTTGTTCGAGAATTGGCAGATCTTGCTCATGGGGGCAGGTAGAATAGTTTGGGGTGGACCTTGAGGGACTAGTAAAAGTCTCATTTCTATGGTGGTTCTATTAGAACCTTTGTAATCCTGCTACCATGAAGGATACCGGAAACGATGACAACTGCTCCGAAAGGAGATGTGTAGAATGATTTGCTTCTCGGTTTGAAATTGAAATTACCTTTAACCTGACCTGACAAGGTCAAACGAACCTCGGACTCGGACTTCGTGATCTCAAAAACATATAATAACCATGGTTGCCCCCACCATAGGGGATTTTTCTCGGTTTGACCTTGAAATGACCTTTAAACTGACCTGACAAGGTCAAACGGACATAAGGATATAGTGGTCTAGTCGGATGCACAGATTTTTTTTTGTGGGGCTGTTATTTATTACTTGCTGTGTACTATTGCTATTGGTAGTGTAATTCAGTGCTGGTTGAGACATAGGGTAGTTATTTCTTGCAATATCAAATCCATATCGAAGAACATAGTTACTTCATTTGTTGAGATGTATTTACTTTTTTTTTAATTTATTTGAATACAGTATATGTTTTTAAAAAATAAGATCATAGGCTTTAAAATAATTTTATAGATTTGATCCCTATGAATTTTCCTGTATATCAATAAACGAAACCATATTTAATGAAATATATAACATTTATTCATTTCTATATAATATACAATGGGAAAAGTCACACGAACATCACAAAATGGTGCATTAAGTTTAATTGTAGCAACAAGTGAGGTGCGGAAATTTTTTTAAAGTGTTTTATGCACTGTCCAAAACATGATGCAAATGCTATCTCAGTAATTTCTATAACAAAAATGATGAGTAGTCATTGCAATGCAATATTTTGTTAACAGAGAACAGCAATTTCGATTCGTAAACAAAAAGGAAAAGTGTAAAAGTGTAATTTACACATCAAAGTTGACTCCATATTGACCATATTTTGCTGTAGTTAAAGCACGTTCACATTATAAAAAATACTTATACATATAAACAAAAAATACAGAGTGTTCTAAACTAAGTGGCACATAAAATTACAAAATTTATATTATATATTAATAATTAATTATATATTAATAATATTAATATATTTCTCTTCTGATGGAAAACGATAATAAAATAAACAAGAGGTTAGAAATATACGATAATATTTCGTTTCAGGTAATTATCGGGTAACATAACTTTCATTCTTTTGATTATTTTAATTTTAAGATTTAAATAGAATATAATAATAATAGTTAACATCCCTACCCCTCATTCTAACCTAAAAACCAGCTCGGGACTGAATAACATGTGTGTGGGAGGGGCCGGTATGCTATTATTATGTTGGTATATCTTAAGAACACCCCGTATATCAGTTAAAAAACTATTTCATATTCCTACACCGATAAGAATATTTGTATAGTCTTTACGTTAGTAAATAAATGTGGCTGCGATTTATTTACTAATTTACAGTTTAAATAGACAGAAGCACGTCCCAGGGAAGGCAGGAGTAACCTTTTTTCTATCAGATTTGAACTGGAGGCACGATTGCTAACGCAAAAATTACCAATGCCTCTTCGTCCTGGGTTCAGCATTTATATAATAAAGATTTTCTACTCTAAAATCACAAATATATTTGGCAACAAGATTTTTGAGAGAAATGGCACGGGTAGATCGAAGTGAACATAAAGAAGAATGAAAAAATTGAAGATGTATAAGAAATATCACAAATACAAGGCTGTATGAAAGTTTCCTAGTTTGTTTATTCATAATGTGCAACACAACGTGGTAACCACGATCCACCCTGTATATATATATATTTAAATGTAAGCAACATTATGTACAAAAATCAAGGGTTAGCTGGAGACATCGCAAAAACTGTGTATTTTAAAAATTTCTGTTAATAAAAACAATTATTAAAATACTTCTAAAAGAAAGCTATTAAATTCGCAGTTTCGCAAAATCCCCAACCACTTCCTAATTAGCTTTGACAACAACCTCAAATACAAATAAACAACTTAAACCTAAATTCTGTACATAGCATCAAAAATTAGACCTATTTTACAATAAATATATCCCTGAAAAATAATATTTGTTATGTATATTATATACTACAATAATACTCATGTTTATATATATTCTTTTATAATTTATAGTTTTGATTAAATATTTTCTCCTTTTATTAAGCTCTGTTAATCTTGATTGTTTACACCTTGTTGACACAAGTGGCTTAAAATACGAAAAAGAAATAAATGTATATAAAAATAAAACATCAACACATCTATGTTGCTCGTTAGAGTTACCAGTCGTATTTTTTTATCAAAATTACATTGTCTCACTGTATATCTTTGGATTAATTGATTTAATAATACTTATACTAGTCACATCCCTTCCTGGTCGTTAGTATTTAAGCTTGAAACTTAAAAAAATGTGTTTGAACACATTGTATCCAAAATTTAGTAGATTCGTAAACTTAAACTTAATCCAAATAATTAAAAAACTTTCTTTCAAGATGTTTTCATCTTTTGCTTGCTCCAGCAAATTTTGTTGTATATACACTATGAAACAATTTAGCCAAGGAGAAATGTTTAATTCACAGCACAGATACTTTGCGAGATGCAGTCCAAGCCAAGGTGTTTTCGTATAAGGTAAAACCATTGAAAAGAAAAAAAATTAAATCACACCTGGCTCTACTTTTCCAAAGGTATGCGACGCACTGAATCCGATTCCCATCACAAAATTGTTCCATCACGTCAGATTTTCGAGATAACCTAACCTAAAACTGCTAAAAATACCTTTCGTTATATTTGAGGTTATATTACATCACGAGGCAATTACCCCCTCCCCTCACCACCACAGAACTCGTTACGGCATCTGAAAGTACTACTCTTCCCCTTTAAAATCCATTTTGAATCGTTCGAATATCTTTTTTTTTCTCTTCGAGAAATCGTCTGTTGAAAGAGAGAGGGAGAGAAGTATCAAATTACAAGCACTTAAATTCCCACTGGTTCTTCAGGTTTTTGGATCCAACATATCGAATGGAATAAAAAAATGTCATTGTGAATTTTGTAATTCTGGCTTCAGCGACCTCGAAAACCTGAAGAACCAGTAAAAATTTAGATGTTTGTAACTCAATTTTTTTCTCTTTGCGAAAAACCGTATTTTAGGTTAAGTTGTCTCTAAAACCTGATGTGATAAAGCAATTCTGAAAATAGATTCGGAACCAGCGCATCGAAATGTTCACATCTTCAGGAAAGTATAGTCTTTTTTTTTGGCTCACAATTTATTAGCCCGTGTAATTTACTTCGTCCATTTCTAATATTCTGGCGGAACACACAACTCTATTAGTATTCTTTATTTGTTTTATGAATCTTCGTATTAGCCCTAATATTATTAAAAATAGAGAAAGATTCGTTTCAATGATTTAAAATAACACCTATGGTATGACCCAACCTTTTCCAGCATCACCTTGGACAGAATCCGCAACATCAAGTAGGTATCTGTGCAACAAAACAAGACTTTCTCGGCAAATTTTAAATCTAGTCAACCATGCTGGTGTTGGTAGTGTTGTTCACGAGACAATACTCCATCGCCTTTCCGTGCGAGCAAGTGTGTACTTTTTCGAAATCAACAATAAGAAAAATAACACCCAAAATGGCCACTGTGAGACCAAAGAGCACCACACCCAACGCAGGTAGCTTCTGCCTGCACAGAATGAAGCCCTCTTCCAGCTGCAAGTAGCAGAGAGCCGGTAGGACGTAGGCTAGGGGCACCGCGGCCAAAACACCCTGTATAAAACAGAAAACAACTTTTTTAGACTTTAATAATTATTAGGGTAAGTTCAGAAATTAAAGTTTGCACGGGAAAGATATTATATAAATTATTATTATTAGAGTTTGACACTTTGGTGCATGGATAAGACGTCGAGGTAGCAGGGGTTCCAGCATTTGTATCATGGACCGTGGCTAACTTCGTGCATCAATACATCTCACGCGTTAATACGAACCATTACATCTATACTCTGTTTGGAAATGAAAGAGAGTAATAAAACCCCGAGATAAGAACCGGCCATGGGCGTGCTAATATTTCGTTTCAGGTAATTATCGGGTAACACTAATGCTAACAGGTAATGGGTGTACATTAGTATATTTTACTGGATACATCATAGGGCAGGAGCCAGTGTATTGTGACAGATCAATACAGTCTTAGAGCTGAATATACGAAGACGTGCTAGTGCAGTAGAGTAAAATTCGACTTGTGTTTAGTGACTAAAGTACACTTATTTTATTTTAAAAAAGAAATACCAACGCTAAACAAAATTTTAAGTGAACTTTCAGAGGACAACGATTTGCCAAAAATCAGTAAAAGCAAATTATGGGCCGTCTTACGAGAGTTGAATTTTTGCTGGGAAAAGCAGAACAGGAAGTCAGTTCTTATCGATAAAGATGAAATTATTTGTTGGCGAAGATCCTACTTAAGATCAATTAGAAAATTCCGTGACGAAGGGAGGAATATTTATTATCTAGACGAAACTTGGGTTAACGAGGGATATACTGTAACAAAAGTATGGCAAGATAAAAATGTAAAAAGTTTTCGACAAGCATTTTTGATGGACATTCAACAGCGTTCAAGGCACCTTCAGGTAAAGGGCGAAGATTAATAGTGACACATATAGGTAGTGCCAGTGGTTTTGTAGATGGCGGTTTACTTTTATTTGAATCTAAAAATACAGGTGACTATCACAAAGACATGAACGCAGAAGTTTTCGAAGAGTATTTTACACAGATGTTGGATCTTATTCCTCCGGGGTCTGTAATTGTCATGGATAATGTCAGTTACCATTCACGGCAGACCGAGCGGACGCCTGCGAATGCTTGGAGGAAAGCCGATATAATTCAATGGTTATCCGGAAAAAACGTTTCTTTTGAAACAAATATGGTGAAAAAGGAACTTTTGACACTTGTCAATCTTAATAAAGATCAGAAAAAAATATGTTATCGATGAAATGGCAACAAATCGCCAAATAACGGTACTACGGTTACCACCTTATCACTGTGAACTTAACCCAATCGAATTAGTCTTGACGCAGGTAAAAGGAGATGTAGCGCGAAATAATACGACGTTTAAATTAAGTGACGTGAAAATTTTGTTAAAAAATTCCTTGGAACGAGTAACTGCAGATAACTGGCAAAGATGTATACATCATGTACAAAAAGAAGAGGAGAAAATGTGGGAACTCGATAATTTAATTGACGTTATTGGGGAACCTATCGTTATCAATCTAGGAGACGAAGATAATTCATCAGAATATTCAGAGGATGAATTTTAATACACCTACTTTTTTATTTTCTTTATTGTACATTTATACAACACTACATTTACTCACCATAATTTGAATTTTCAAAATACATATATTTTTGTGTGGAATAAAAGTCTATTCATTAAATTTAAATAAATATTTTGATAATAATATTGAATAATTTTATTTGAATTACTAAAAACCCTCTTAACCCGGTTATGATGCTTAAAGTAGCCTCATGTTTTGAAATGCTGTTTTTATATTGTTTACTTATAAGAGAAATGGACCGAGAAATTGAAGCGGCATAGACAAAGTCGGATTGTCGGGGATTAAATTTTAGCTACCGGCTACAATTTAGTACAGTCCGATCGCACAAAGTTTTGTTAAATGTACACCTCATCTATACTGATAATACATAATATAAAAATATTGAATATAAGCACCAGTACTACATTTATTTACGATTTGCATACATAATGAGCTTTTATTACTCTCTTTCATTTCTAAAAAGACTATAAAAAAATCTGAAAAGGTTTTCTTGATTTACTCTCCAATAGAGCAGTAATAAAATGTCGGATTTTTTAAGTAATTTTGTTCGCCTTGGTATAAAAGACGCATTGAAAGTCAAGCGCACTAAATAAATAGACTCATACAACTGTCGTACCGGGTGGTTTTATTATATGACTTAATTCTTATGTTCAATATGTGTAAAGTTTTGTGGCCAGTGATTTTTACAGGTGTACATACCTTTAAACTGCGCTAATAATTCGCTTTGTAAGTGACTTCACATTCACAAATGTCAAACTGTAGTACTGTTCGTAGGCTTACTTACGTTTAGCTCCAAGACCATTCCCAAGCAATCTGTCGTTATGGATATGAAGTAAGTGGTGGCTACGATGCCCAGAGTGAGCAAATAGTGCATCTTCTCTGACAAAGGGACGTTGGGATCTCTACCGAAGACCGAGGTTTCGATGACCTCTCTAGTCACAAAACACTCGATCGGGTAAGTGAGGAGAATTTGAACGCTAAACAAAAGACGACTGACGTTCATCAAGTCGTCGTCCCAGCAGTAGTTCTCCAACAAGTCACCTAGAAAAATAAAAGAAAGACGTTAAGGTATTTTCTTTATATTTTCCGTTGGAGTACTTGCCTTGCGAGTAGGCTTTGAACGTGGCGTACCCAGCAATACCAAAGAGCACTGCCACCACCAAACTAGTCAAAATTGAAGCATGAGTCACTATTTCCCATTTTTTCTGGTTAGGGTCTGCTATGGAACCGTAAATAAGGAAGGTGTTATGGTGGCACATAAAAGCTAAAAAAAAACGAAGATAAACTCTTTGAGTTGTTAAAATAAAACAGCCTTACCAAAAGCCATTATTCCAATAGCTGGGATTATGTCATTGTTAAAGAAACTCCATGATTGAGGATGTTGAGGCCTAAAGGTCGAAACACAAGTTACCAAAGGAAATTGTCAATATATTACCTCAACTTATTTGAATTCCATTAATGATTTTTACTTACACGATGTCACTGATTGGTCCGATCCTGAGGAAGATGGAGAACAAGATGAAGGCTATGCAGACCAAGCTGAGGAAGGAGATTTTCGCCAACCGCGCCACGTCTCTGTACAAGCACAAAGGGATGGTAATGAAGAGGGAGGCTACCAGCACTATGAACTCCCTTCTAGCGAAGGTTGAAGCTTTGTCGATGCCTGTGAGTCGAACTATAACTTTGGTGACTGTGTCTCCCACCACGATGTTGTAGGACACCATAGCTGTAAGAAAATAGCTATCAATAATGATATCCATTAAAGAAGTACCTATATAATTTTCATTTCTAAGTCCAAAAAGTTAGACTTCTCCTCACGAAATCCAGTGGTTTGGGAGTAAGTCAATTTGGAAGCGCGACGCCGCCGCCGCCTTTACAGGAGATTCCTTGAGAGTTGTTCTGAAGCAGCAAGCAGCACAATCGCTGGATAATGACTTCCTGGTATTTTTTCTTGGGTTGCTACAATGGAGTTGTTGATAAAAAAAACCTCAGCAGTGATTGTCACATTGCTCGGAAGCAATTGATAGTAAACCACAACCTATTTGTTCCACCAGATTCACGATATTAGCTTACGCGGAATGGTACTAGCTTTTGCTCTACCATTAGCAATCTAGTACAAAAAAAGTAAATGTTTTCAACGAACTAAACGGTGATAAATCAACAAACAGGCAGTGTTGACACACTGGTTTTTATTGTATTTGTTCAAAATATGCGGCACCCATACTNCCGTGTGATGATACACTATGACAAAAGTTTTTCAAAAAAGATTTCATATCGTAAGGTCAGAAATTGTTCCAGTATCCAGAAATAATCCCCATTCATCTTCATTCAGTTTTCTTCTTTGTAGTTTGAGTTTTCTCTATACATATTTTCTATCGACTTCGAAAGGTGCAATTTCTGCCTGTAGAGAGAAATCTAGTGCATTTAGTCCTATTTATTTATTTGTTTGTTTATTTAATTATTTAAAATACACATCTAACAGGTCATACTCAATAACAGGATATGTTGAGTCTAGTAATAAAATATAAAAAAAGATAAAAGAGAGAAAATTAACTATGAAAAAATAGAGAAAAAAATAAAAATAGTACAAACTTACAAATAACACAAATATAAAGAACAAGATAGATATGACTAAAGTGATATGAATAAAGTGACTAGGATGTTACTACGTGCTGTGGGTAGACTAAAAACATTATTACTTCTAGCTGATAGTTGTGGTACTTTGATATTAATATTACTTAAATCGCCTGGACAGTCGAAAATGTTGTGTAGAACTTTATACAAACATTACTTAAAAACAGAGCTTCTTTTAGCAAGAACATGAATATTGAAACGATCAAGTACTAGATCGTGCGGAAAACCCTGAGGGGGATATGTATCATCCAATAAGTACACAACTGATTTCATAACCCTACGCTGTACTCTTTACAAAGTTGCAATTTGATTAGCATAAATTTGGTTCCAGACTATTGACGCAAATTCTAATTTTGAACGAATAAGGGTAGTGTAGAGCAATCGTAGTGTAGAAATATTGATAAAGCTTTTGGAATTGAAATAGTACAAATTTTTTACATATTATATTACACTTGGAGACATTTAGCGTTAAATTATTATTTAGACACCACCGACTAATAACATTAGGCGCATTCTGTAGTCTTCTTGAGCGTACAGAATCATTTATGTCAAAATAGCCCTCTTGAAAAAGAGAAAACCATTTTTGTGCTATACTTTCGTCAATGATGTTATATATCACGCTAGTATTAAAAAATTAAGTACGCCACTGGATTCTAAGTTTAAAAATCTATAAGATAGTGTCAACGTTTCGGAAAAAAGTCCCCAATTGTTGCTATTACAGGGGATATAGAAAATACATAAAGAAAATCGTGTGGACATTTGTCGGCAACTCCTTGAACAATTCAACGACGATGAAACATTCATTCAAAGGATCATATCGGAAGAACTGGGGTTACGGCTACGACATTGAGACAAAAATTCAATCATCACAATGGATTGGCAAAGGATATCCACGTCCCAAGAAAGCACGTCAGTCGCGATCCAATGTCAAAGTGATGTTCACTGTTTTTTCGACTTTAATGGAATAAGGCGTTTTGAAATGAAGCTATCCAGGACTGCTCCGCAAAATGGAAACACAAGTGTGTGAATAAAGTTCGGTTATTTTCTGAACAGATTTCGTATCAAAAGGTTTTTATTCCGACAAGAAATACGTGACTTGTGTGAGGAAGGTGGCGTATTAATATTCTTTAATATTTTCCTGCTCTCAAGCACGAAATAAATATTTCTTTACAATTGTTTTATTCTATGAAACTTTGTCTCAGATTAAATAAAAGTGATTGCATTGTGTATAAAAACTTCTAAGAATAAATATCAAATCATTCGTTAGTGGAATATCCAGTGGTCTCAGGGTAAATTGCATATATTCTAATTAGTTTCAGTACAGTCATGTCCGTTACTTGGAAAAACTGTTAGTGCGTAGAAATCCTTAATGTTTCGTGCATGTTGATAAATTAAGCCTTGCCTGATAAGCTGTAATGAACACGAAATTTTCCGAGAAATGCGAGGAGAATCATAATTTTTTTGTCACGGTCGAAAACGTACAACTTTTTATAACGTTTCACAATTCATTTAAGAACGATTAGATCTAAGACACTTAGATGCCCAGATCTGAATCCTACTTAATTAATCTAAAAACGATTAGATCTAAGCCTCTGAGATGACCAGGTCTGAATTTTATTTTCATACTGTCACGACCTACCATATAGCATTGTCCATAAGTAATTGACCTCACACGATCTAATTAGTGAGATTTGGTTAAAATACCTATACGCATTTTGGACCGTATCAATGTCCGATATGTCAAAATATAAAACAACAAAATCTGTAAATACTTACGTAATTAGAAAAAATGCAGAAATGCCTGAAAGAGATGTAACAATTAAAAAATGTCTTATTTTCTTAATAAAAAACCTTCTTTCCGTGTTTTAATACTATCTCGCTTATTGTCAGAGATGAACCTAACAAACCCTATATGACTATACTAGACAGGGAACGTTCTATCCAAATTTGTAAAAATATACAGGGTGTTCCATTTAAACTAACATTTGTTTTTCTAATATCATTTTCGAAAATTTCATAAAAAGTAGTGCAACATTTGTATTTCACATTTTTTTATAACTCTTAAAACAAAAAAGTTAATGGGGAGATCAAAATATAGTGAATCAACATGTACGTTACCAATAGTGATAGTAGATCAGCAAGAATACAAGATATTTTTTTAAATGATTGCATTATTTACAATTTCATATACATATAAGGTATTTGTGTGAATTATATTTAGACATATTTTTATTTTTTGTTTGAATTAACTACCTTTAAAGTAGAGTAACAGAATATAGATATTCATGTCATGTTCTTACCGATAAAAGGGTACACGAATTGCAGAATTCCAAGTAAAATGTAACCGGGTTTTCCGAAGGCAGCCTCCATAATTCCCTGGTAGGAGAATTTTCCGCTGAGGTGGCCACTCTTCACCATCAGAATTAAGGAGTAGTCGGTGATGTACGCAACGAAGAACAGAAGAAGCATCCCGAATCCGAAGCCTGCTTCGTGAAGAGCATATGGAATACCTAAGGAAAGACGTATACGTGGAATATTTTTTTCAGTGTATAGAGTGAGTTTTTCTTTACCTATAACGCCGCTGCCTATTATGGAGTTTATGAAATTAAAGCTGGCCCATGGTAAGGTGTTCGTTCTTTCATTTTCTTCTTCCTAAATTTAATTTTCCTATTGAAAGTTGTGTATTTTAACAAAGGTTTATATGGCGAAGATGGACGGTGCGGCTCTTTTTTTGCCCCTAACTGAGAAAAAAATGTAGAAATTGTGAAACAAAACTTTTCCATAGATAGTACACAGTATTATCTTATTTTTGATGTAAAACTAATGTAAGTTTTGAACATAGTACAGCTGTATTAATTAGAAACAGAAACCAATAATTGCATTTCTGTCTGACTTGAGGATTAATGTGGCAACGTCGCAATCAGCTGACAGCAAAGAGGGAATACATTTGAAGGACATGATAAAAACGAAATTGATTTCAAACATATACATTTTTCCTAAATCCCATGTACATTGTTATAAACAATAAATTATCCACAACAGATGATTTTTTGTAATAAAAGTTTAAGTGGACTGACATGTGAATAAAATAGAACAATAAAATAAAACATTTAGAATAAATAAAATTTTAGAAAATCAAGTTTGAACTTTCTTAAAATGATCGTATTATAAGAAATGCCTTGTATAAAATATCGATATTTGCTAATATAGGAGTCTTTGCCTAACATTTGCCTATAACTCTGTCAAATATTTTTGCTCCAAGTGTTAGTAGTTGAAAGTTAATACAACTTCTTCGAGGTCATGTTTTTTCCAAAATTCGAAGAATTTTCTACATAACTTGGCAACCTCGCACTAAAATGTTAAACTGTTTATATTGCCGTATACAGAATTTTCTCAGAAATCCATATGTTTAAAAATATACAGGGTGTTCCATTTAAAAAATGTAATATTTGGCGTGTCCCGTTTTTACTCATCGCCATGTGTTTCAAATCAAATTAATTTTGTCCTTTACGTTTTTTGATTCTATACTACTTTTATATAAACTTTTTTTCTGTATTATGAATAACAAGGGAGTTATTTTACTTTCTCACGCCCACTCTGTATGTACAGGAACATTTTAGTGGACGCGCTGTTAAGAGAAGATATGATGAACTTTATCCGAATCGCAGACAGCCTTCTCATACTGCTTCTTTATTGACCAAATTATGAGAAACTGGAAACTTTCGGTCTAATTCACGAAATTGAAGGTACGTTCAAAGAAGAATACAAGACCAAGAACAAATTCTAGAAAGAGTAGAAGAAAATCCAGAAATTAGTATTCGTCGTTTGTCAGCAGTCGCAGGAGTTGACCGCAAAACTGTTTCAACAGTACTCCACACGCAGCAGTTACAATTTTCGCACATTTTCACCCTGTACAAAATTTGCTTGAACCAGACCACCCGCTGAGATTAACATTTTGCGAAAGATTTCTCCAGTTACATACATAACAGGGACCACAGTTTTCCCGGGAGAATTGCCTTTACAGATGAAGCTATTTTTACCTGCAGAGGGGTTTTTAATTGGAAAAACTCTCACATGTGGAGCGAAGAAAATCCACACGCATTAAAAGAGCATCACTTTCAGCACGAATATTCAGTTGACGTCTGGTGCGGGTTATAGAAAATTTTATTTTGGGGTCTATCTGCAAGGTTGAACGGCCAAAATTATTTGGAATTTATTCGGCAAGAATTTTCTAGGGTTCTCGAAGAAGTACCCATCAATACTAGACGACAAATGTGGTTCATGCACTATGGTACTCCTGCTCATTACAGCCATTTGTTGAGAGATCGTGTAAATCAAGTGTTTCCAAACCGTTGGATTGGTCGAGGTAGTGACTTTCCTTGGCCTTCTCGCTGTCCGGATTTTAATCCGTTAGACTTTTACTTTTGCGGTGATTTGAAAGGAATTGTTTACAACACCTAATACGAGAGAAGAACTTTGGGATATAATAAAAGACAAGTTAGACGAACGTATAAATCGTTTCCTGTTCTCAATAGTTTCATGAAACTTTTAAGGAAATGTGTCGAAGAGAATGGAGGACACGTAGAACATTTATTATAAATTAGTAGACTTTTTATTACTGCCACATTTTAATTTATTATGTTATTAATTATGTTATTTATTATATTTATTATGGATACGTATTTATTTCCAAAAAATAAGGGGTATGTATTAATAAATATTTTCTGTAATATCTTCGTAACCGAGCAAAATTTCGACTTTTGATAGGTATACATATTTTGTGTAGAAAAAAGTTCTCTATGTATTTCTGATAGTTGCGTGTAAAAATTTAAAAGTACAAAAAAGTTACAGAAACTAAGCAACAGCAAATTTTGCTCAAATCGGTTCTGAGTTAAGAAGAAAACAAGAAATATAAAAAGAAACTTTAACACCTTGTAACTTTTCGTTTAAGCAAGTTTGGTTAAATCGACACCATTTGGGTTCTAGATTATACCCTTGAAGTATGTAACATTCGTTAGGTGACACTCTGTAGAGATTTTTTGTGTAAAAATGGCCACTTCGTATAAAACCGCATTCGTAATAGAGATTTTTTTAGATTCACCGCCCCTTAAAACGGGCCTGTACTAAATTTTATCAGCAAATTCTAAATAATTTGTAGCCAAATTAAAAATGTATGCTACTTTTTATTCATTCGTTCATTCGTTTTCATAGATTTATTTTAAAAGTCTACTTATCCATGAAAAATCTAAAATATGAATCGTCAAATAAAGGCGTAGAAAAGATATTACAGTTTATCTCGTGTTAATAATCACACAAAATAGAAATGTACATTTTGTTGGCGATAATGTGCGAAAATAATCTGTGAAATGATTCAATATTAGGCACTTAGCCGACTAAGTAAATCGGAGTACTTAAAAAGCGTTAATAAAGTTTTCAACTAATTTACTTAAAAGCAAACATAATGGACGTCGTGGGAATTTGAGAAATAATGAGTGATAATAACGAATGATATAATTTTAGAATATTTTAACAATCCGCATTGGAAAGGCTAGTTTAAGCTTTAATATCCCCAAATGTTTCCTCAATATCCCAAAATAAAATTAAAAGTTTTAGCACTTTTAGTAAGACAGTAATAGAACAAGAAAATCGCTCTCTTCGGGCCGTATCTAAACTATACAGGGTGACCCATTAACGGTATCGAGCGGCTGTATATAAGAAACTAGACGTGCTATGATTATGGTGTAAAAAATCTATTAACATACGGCCAAAAGAAATTGATTTAAAATATTTTCAAGTTTGTAACTTCACTGCTAGGGGACGCAACTGCTATAGTGTTACAGAGAATTGTCGGTTTTTCGAAATTTCGCCTATACAACGTAAGTTGAAGATACACTTTTTAGATACACTGTTAAACTCTTCACAAGTTTTGTTTATACTTTTTTTTATTATTACCATAGCAACGCCAGTATGAAGGACGCCATCTTGAAATTTTTAAATTGTCATAACTTCTAAATGCCTTAATCGATTTCAATAAACGATGGATCGTTTTAAAGAACTGATAATAAAATTTATATTTATGATATGGAAATAAAAATATTATTTTCTTGCGCAACAGTAGACGACGCTAATGAGAAAAGTTTTATAATTGTCTCTGCTTACTATAAAAATTAAATGCAACCATATACAGGGTCGGAAAGTCCCCATGGTTCATCGGCCGTTACGTGAGAGCGATAAAGAAAGTCATAGAAATCCATGCGATAGAGAAAGATGGCTATAATGAAAGCGTCTAATAGTCACCGCCCATTTCGCCCTTCAACAAATAAGAAGTGGATCTTATTTGTGGAAGGGCGAAATGGGCGGTGACTATTAGACGCTTTCATTACAGCCATCTTTCTCTATTGCACAGATTTCTATGACTTTCTTTATCGCTCTCACGTAACGACCGATGAACCATGGGGACTTTCCGACCCTGTATAGTAGGATCGTATTCGATGCAAAGTAGAGCAAAAAGTTGTCGGTCTTTTATCAAAGGAAAATCGTGTCAACATTTTTAGGAGGTGTAAGATAAATCATTTCAAATTTAAAATGAAATTCAATGTAAAATCTAAAATACCGCTGCATACGCACTGTGTTCTGGTAGTAGCTGTAGTCGCCCAGGTGCATCGAGTGTACGAACTGGTCGGTTATACGTCAAATACTAACCTGGCGAGCTTTGCCGTCAATTAGAGAGCGCTTCCAAAAAACAAGTAAACAACAGTGGCGCGTACAGAGGTAAAATGTAGTACATATGTGGAATTTAGGAAACAAATTGGATTTATAATAAATTACATTTAAAATAAATAGTTTATGAGAATAAAGGAATTTTTGTAGGAACAAGGGTGCCAGACCTGAACTGATCCCCTCGTCCCTTCATAACGTATAAAGAAATTATTCAATTTGTAAAACCCTTAAAAGCGTACTTCATTGGTTCCCTTGACAGGCAATGATTTATTACTTTGCATCGAATATGATCCTACTATAGTTTTTTCTTCATGGCTTGATAAACCGTTTATTAAGAAAAATAAATACATAAACCGGAGGTCGATATCTTTTTTCGTTTTCAAGTTATTACTAAAATAGTGTAAGTTGTGCTAGAACATCCTCTTTTATTTAGTTCTCTAAATAACATTGACATAGTCCAAGCCAAAATCAAATTGTAAAACTATACCAAAATAGGAGTCCGAATTATAACATATACAAATTAAGATTGGAAAGAGTCCAGAACAGATTTGTTCGTTACCTTAATCTCAGGGTCAACGGTATTTATAATGTTGATGACATATCAGCTACTAAACAACAATTTAATATCGTCCCTCTGGAACAAAAAAGGATTCACACTGATTTTATTATTTTATTTAAATTATTGAATAATTTATTAGACTGTCCCTATTTAATTTCTTTACTGAATTTTCATGTTCCTTCTAGAAATACGAGGACGACTAATTTATTTAGCATATCAACCCAACATACCAATCTCGGACTAAATAGTCCATTGTACAGAATGACTGTTAATTATAATATGTACTTTGTCGACTCTAATATTGATATTTTTAATACTACTCTTAGCAGTTTCAAAAGATTTATATTAACTTTTTACTTATTTTTGTACATTTTTTCACTGATGTATCCATTTCCTGTTAGTTTTTGTTTTGTTTTGTTTACACTATGTTCACAATTGTATTAGTGGATGCAGTTTTGGGCAGCAAGCCTGTTTGCATTCCAAATGTGATAAATAAATAAATAAATAAATAAATAAATAAATAGTACTTGCTATATTTTGAATTTTTTTGATAACTGCAATGTTTCATTTTTTATTAATTCCAAATATGTGAGTATTTATAATTATTGTTTGCATAACGAGACAGTCTATGTCCTATAAAACTAGTCAAATGAAAAATTTTGTCAAACGATATATGATAGCTCTTACTTCGTGCAAAATTAGTGTCATTCGTGTGAGAAAAGTATGTACTTGTGTTCCATATGAAATTCCCAGGTCTCTAGCTAATTCCCTAACACTTATTTGGGGATTTACTTGGACACAAGCTAACACATTAATAATATTATCTTCCGTTCTTGCACGGCAATGTCTTCTTACATAATGTAGTGGCGTCTGGATAAACGCTGAAATATTGCTCTGGCGTAGCGTATTGTACGAGGATATCGCAAAGCATATTCTCTTGAAGCTATAATACATTTTACAAACATTGAAAATAAACTGCCAACATATACATATAATGTTCTAGCACAACTTACTTACACTATTTTAGCAATAACTAGAAAAAGATATCGACCTCCGGTTTGTGTATTTGTTTTCCTTAATGAATGGTCTATGAAGTCATGAAAAAAAAACTATATCGTTGCATTTAATTTTTTTAGTGGACGGAGACAATTACAAAACTTTTCTAATTAGCGTCGTCTACTGTTGCATAGGAAAATAATTTTGAATAAACGACATTTTTCTGTAATACTATAGCAGTTGCGCCCCCTAGCATTGAAGTTACAAACTTGAAAATATTTTAAATAAATTTCTTCTGGCCTTATTTATTAATAAATTTTTTAGCCCACCATCGCATCGTAGCACGTCTGGTTTCTTATATACAGTCGCTCCGTACCGTTAATGGATCACCCTGTATACTATTTATTATGTATCGTTTAGTTCTGTAGTAGCTATCTCCGTTGAGAACCCATTTCTGAATCCGTGTTGGCATTTGCTTATTAAATTATATTCTGATAAAAATTCTATTAATCGCAAATACAATACTTTTTCAATAATGTTTGAAAATGGACCAAGAATAACAATGGCTCTATAATTTTCAATCAATTGTTAATTTCCTATTTTAAATATTAAGGGTTTTGTTACTTTTAATCGATTTGGAAAATTTCCAGTAGCAACCGACTTATTTATTTGTTACATCTTTAATATAGGGACTGATATCTTGTTTAGTTGAGTGATCAACTTATGAGTTTCGTATTTAGTATAGGGCTTAAAAAACATCGTAAAAGAATTTGCAGGGGGTAGGGTACAGTCTACACTACCTTCCAGGGACAGAGACAGCAAAGACAATTATTTTGCTGTCTGTGATAAGTCCATCGCCAATCGTAAGATTTATTTTTGTTTGTATGAATATTTTCCCGATCTAGTTTTATATTCACAGTTTTTTCCAGTTCAACCTTTTATCATAATAATTGCTTTTTCATGTTTTTGTAGTTTTCCTGGACCGTGGTATCCTCTGCAATTTTCCCATACCAGTTTAATTGTCTAAGTTGCAGAGATTTGTTTCTAAGCTCATTGGAATACATTACAATTACAATAAAACATTATTAAAGTTTTAATCCCGTGCCCATAATAATTTCTAAGTTTCTCGAGTGCTCAAAATTCAAACAAATTTCGATCTATTTTTTTTCATACAAGTCCATCAGATATGCTCTTTCACTAGGAAGGGAACTATGACGTTCAAGATATTTTATTACATGAATCGTTCAAATGATCATTTTAGATGAACAAACCGCTAGGTGTTATTAAATTAGAGGGTGGAAATTGGAGATAGGGGTGAAAATGCACCCCTTTCAATTTTTTAATTATACCTCGAAAAGGAAGCAAAATTTCGTTATAGTTTTCTGATTTTTTTTGAAAATTGAAATTGAAGAATTGAAATTTTTATTTTAAAATTAAAACATTATTTGAGGTTATAAACAGATTTATTTTATAAAAATGTTGTGTAAAATAATAAATAATGGTACTTCTCTCTTGAGTATTTTCGTGTTTTTTTAATTTATGAGCACCCTGTATATCTAATCTAAGATGTTTTTATGACAGTCTCATTTTTTCAAGAGGCAGAACTTTTATAAAGAGTGACATTTTTCGATAAAGTCAAAAACAAAAGAGTTTCTCCTCTTGTCAATTCCATCCGTGGACACACTGTATATATATTATTAATAAACTTTATTATACTGAAATTCTCAAGTTTTTACTAAATTATTTTATTAAAACAGTAAAAAAAATCAAAAAGTCTTAGTTTTTGCTTTCTTTAAAATTGTTTATTAACGATTTTTTTGCATAAAATTTTCCTTTTACATTTTTTAAATAAGCCATTTCGATGAGAAATTCAATTCTCTACAAAATTTTTCCTATGAACTACCGAAATTTTGCTTCGTTTTCATGCAATATTTAAAAAACTGCAAAAGTGCTTTTTCACCCCTATCTTCAATTTCAACCCTCTAATTTAATAGCGCCCCGCGGTTTTTTCATTTTTAATGACCCTCCGAACAAGTCATGTGATAAAAATCCTTGAACGTCTTATTTCCTTCCTTTTTTGCAAAAATGAGAATTAAAACGTATAAGGGTAAATCCGACGAAAATCGAAAAATTGGCTGTTTGAGAGGCCATATATGAATCAATTTTCATCCAAAAAATACTTTACAACCTCTTATTTTGAAGGAAATTTTATCTACTTTCTTTTCTATGAAGCAATGCCTATACCTATCTTCACTCATATAAAAAACTAGAGGCAAAAAAGTAAAATAAATAAAAAAATCGAATTTTTTGCTTTTTTTCAAATTGTTTATTAACGATTTTTTACATAAAATTTTTCTTTTAAATTTTTTAAATAAGCCATTTCTATGGGAAATTCAATTCAATTGCTTCGTTTTCGAGCTACAATTAAAAAACTGAAAGGGGTGCATTTTCACCCCTATCTCCAATTACCGCCCTCTAATTAAATAACACACCGCGGTTTTTTCATCTAAAATTACCCTTTGAACGATTCATGCAATAAAATTGCTTGAAGGTAATAGTTCCTTTTAACCCTGTTTTTTGGATACAATCAATTCAAAGCCTACTATCAAAGATAAACATAATAGGAAAAAATAAGCTGTTTTTCTTATTCGGAATGTGTTGTCAAGATGTAAAGTATCTTACACCCTGGATAAAACTTGTATAACTGTTACAGTGAGGAGGCATTGTTTCTAACTTGCTTATATTTTCTAAAACTCTCGACAAAAAACTGCTATAAATTCGCTGAAAATTATGCATTAAAACACCCCTCTTAATAGAGAATTTAAAAATTTAGTAAACTTAACTGCGGAAAACATACCCACGCGCTGATTCCATGGCTGTCTTGACTATGTACGTATAATCAGAAAATCACTATGTAATTAGAAACAATGGAGAAATCCAAAATATGTCAAATATACAGGATGTTCCATTTAAAAAAAAGAAGCGATTGGTTTATATCTTCGAAATGCAACAGTCAAATATTTTTTATACCCTTCCCTTAAATAACAAGAAAAATAATCGGTTTCAGACTTTCATAAGAACTTAATCCATATTTTCTACTAAAATAGATTTACAACCTCAAAGCAAGGCCGCAATAGCGTCTCTAAGAGTTATATAAAAAATTTATGACTTACACTTATTAGTTGTTTCATGTCATCGAAGGCATTTTCATTCGAGTCGATACTGCTGCCCTAAAAACAAAAGCTTTATACAATATCTCTAATCTCAAATAAACAATGGTGTTATTACACCTGTTATTATTATTACAGATATATCGTAATCAATAAACTACGAATTTGTTTGTGTACCAGCAACAGTAGGCAGAATAAATGTTTAGATAAATCAACTTGTTTTTCGATTCGAACATTTGAAATTTTCCAAACCGTTTTGTTCCTCCATAATCTAATAATCCACCTGACGCTCTTATTGTTATTTGTTGTCGTTGTTCTAATTTTTAAAGGTCAGAGCTATCTAGATATTGAAAGAAATTAGGTGACGTCATCCACGCCCTATATTAGAGACCGACTCGAGAGATTGACAGCAGGAAGCTGGAGAAGTAAACAAAGATGAAAAATTACCCGATCGTGTACAGGGTGGAAAAGAAACGGACGAAAGTACACTTATTTTTGCTTAATAAAAAGCAAGTTCATTAAATCTGATGAAAATTGTGAATTTTTACATATTTGCCATGTTTTTTTTACTGGGAAAATGTAAATACGAGTAATACGTTGTGTAGAAAGCATTTATATGTATATTTACACTCAACCAATCATGCTAATCACCAGTGTGTAGAAATATTTGCTAGCAGTCTAGCAGACCACATAGATTGTGTCGTAGTAATGCAGCATGTATTGTAACTACCTATAATTATTATTACGAATAAATGCTGAGATAAGTAAGTAAAATGACTTTGTATAAAGATGTAAATATTCATTTTACATTATTGAACACATGAGAAACATCAATAATAACCGTATTGAATTTTGAACAGGTGTCGGGACTGTAGTTTACGGGAAATTTTCAAAAGGCTGTAACTTAGCGGAAAATGGTCGTAGGGCAATAAAATAAAAAGCAAATTGAAGCTTGAAGATTCTAGTTTCAGGATATGAAAGTCAAAAAAATTTTATTATCGACCATGGTGGTAAGAAATCCAGCGAAAAAATTTTTTTATTTTTGCTTCGCTTTCATTGGCTTTAATATATTTTTTTACAATTCCACCTGTCAGCATTTTTAGTTTGATTCATCCTTTTTTATTTGAGCTGTTCAAGATTGATGATTTGCCGGTGAGTTATCGTCGTTCAAATCTGCCACTAGAATAGGAAATTACTGAATTCGAACAAAATGATTAAAAAAAGATGTTGGAAAATTTCGGCTGTTCCGACCAGTTACAAAACCAACCAGCGTATCGAATTTATAATAAAAAAAATTATACTAAAAAATTAAATATTAAAGGATTTTTCCACTCACCCTATCCTCAGAGAAGTGTCTCGTGTCCAAGATGTAACTTTTCTCGTTCAAGTTTCCTGTCTGGATCATGGTGGAAGTTGAGGATCAGTCTTACATCACAGAGGTGGAAACGATTCACTAAGGTGCAAATGACGGCAAGAAAGTCATTGAGCTAATAAAAGAAGTTAGACAGGAGTTAGGATTGGGGACGTAATAGGGTGGATATGAATGAAAAGAGGCAATACGAGATTCAGATCGATTACAACTCGAAACATGCGCCTGAGAGGGAGCAAGGCGTGATACGAGGTGCGCACGAAAAGTACGTTGCAATATAAAATGTAATATTAACTTTAGCAATGTATTGTTTCTGTTTGAACTTTTTCTTTGCAGGGATAGTTAATTGTTTTTTTACTGTTCTATATTTATCAAAATAAAATGAAAGGCAAACTCAAAAGTGTTTGAAAATGGTATATTTTTTGTTCTAAGTTGCAAAATATCACAATTATATTAAAAAAGCGAATAAAAGAACCACTCCACAATGCGATGCAGTTTTTTTTATTATACCGGCCTTGTTCAGGGTCTGTGAGAAATTGATCTTTCAAATAATGAACAATATTTGCATCTGCAAAGCAATGCGATATCTTTTTTAAAATATGAAATAGCTTGCAATGTCCATTCGCGTAGCTAGTGGGGGGGGGGGGGCAGGGTTGTGCCCGGCCCATTCTAGAAATCTCGGTGCCCACCCCAGAAAAATAGATCTCATATCGGGAAGTCGCTGACTGCGCCATCGTTTTTCTTTTCTTTTTTCTTTAGAATCAAACGAAAAGAGTGCTTAGGTTTTGAAATATTATATCGGTAATCGTTGATTGCGTGTGTTTTTTTTTAGAGGCTTGCAACAGCCCTGGACCCACACCAATCGAAAATCCTAGCTACGCCCATGGCAATGTCTTCTCTTCTAAAAGTACCTAATGCACCGAAATCAAAAGCAAATCATCCAAAGAAATCTAAGATCTTGGCGGGTAGACATTCAAAAAACCATAATATTTTATATACAGTGACCTCCTAGATGTACGATGATATTGTTGCCAGTACATGGTTTACTGAGATATTTTTTGAAACGATTTTTGAGAAAATCACTATAGGAATTATTTTAATACAAAATCTGAGCAATTAACCTTAATCCCATCACTTAAAACTCATGTATCTCAAATTTCATCCATTATAATGCACTGTTTTTTATACAGACTTAAAACTTTTAATTTTTAAATATTTGTTTCAATTTAAAAATCTAGAAGGTATTAGAAATGCTTCAATGTGAAAATTTGACTAATTACTGATACTGGTGACTACAATGGCAAATAATAGTCTGTTTATACAGGGTGGGCCATTAGTGTGAGAAAGTAAAATAACTCCTTTGTTATTCGTAGTACAGAAAAAAGTTTATATAAAAGTTGTACAGAATCAAAACACCTAAAGGACAAAATTAATTTGAAACACACAGGGCGATGAGTAAAAACGGACACGCCAAATATTACATTTTTACATTTTTTAAATGGAACACCCTGTATATTTTTAAACATGGATTTCTGAGAAAATTATATTTTGGAAAAAACATGACCCCGAAGAAGTTGTATTAACTTTCAATTACTAACACTTGGAGCAACAATAATATTAGACAGTCATAGGCAAATGTTAGGCAAAGATTAAATATTAGCTAATATCGATATTTATACAGGCATTTTTTATAATACGATCATTTTAAAAATTTTTCAAATGGAACACCCTGTATTTTATTGTTTTATTTTATTCACATATCAGTCCACTTCAACTTTTATTAAGTATGTTCTACACCTAAAGTTGTTAGTTGTAAAGATATAGCAACATTTCTGGAAAAACCTAATTTTTATTATTTTCGGTCGCACGAAATGGCTTTGGAAAAAACTGTCACATTGTGTCAACTTGTCAGTTCATAATTTATCATTCAATTTTGAGTTAATTTTATTAGTTAATACTTATTTGTGGTATTCTATAAAATAATAAAAATTAAGTTTTTACAGAAATATTGCTGTATCTTAAAAACTAACAATTTTAGATATAGAACAGGCTTAATAAAAGTTGAAGTGGACCGATATCTGAATAAAATAAAATAATAAAATACATATATTTGAAAAATTTTAGAAAATGAAGTTTAAACTTTCTAAAAATGGTCGTTTTATAAAATGCCCTGTATAAAATATCGATATTAGCTAATATAGGAGTATTTGCCTAACATTTGCCTATAACTCTATCAAATATTTTTGCTCTAAGTGTTAGTAATTGAAAGTTAATACAACTTCTTCGAGGTCATGTTTTTTCCAAAATTCGAAGAATTTTCTACATAACTTGGCAACCTCGCACTAAAATGATAAACTGTTGATATTGCCATATACAGATTTTCTCGGAAATCCAGATGTTTAAAAATATACAGGGTGTTCCATTTAAAAAATGGAATATTTGACGTGTCCCGTTTTTACTCATCACCCTGTTTGTATCAAATTAATTTTGTAGTTTAGGTTTCTTAATTCTGTATAACTTTTATATAAACTTTTTTTCTGTATTGTAAGTAACAAGGGAGTTATTATACTTTCTCATACTAATGGCCCACCCTGTATATCTTAAAATTGTAAAATTATTGAATCGTGCTTTTAGTAATAAAAAAAATTCATATGGAGACTTTACTCTGAACTCTGTACCAGCCACAATCAGCAGTCAGCAGAATCAATATTAATCAACCCTCAAGCGTTTCAAAGCTTCATATTTTTTTTTTACTTTTTAGCTTGAACTTAAAGTCTATATAAAAAAATTGTTCCTCATTACAAATCTTTCACATTTAGAATATAGCGGTTTTAAGTGATGCTCGTTAGGGTCACGCGGCCAAATTATTAATAAAAACAAGTTATTTTCCCAAAAATGGCTTCCTAAAATCATCATCATCACAACTGGTTTTAAAGGTATATTTTAGTCTCTTGTTTGTCTTAAATATTATTACTTTGGTAAGTTATAAGTGTGTGTTTAACAATTTTGTATCGTTTCAAATGCACTTGGTGCAAGTTTATAAATAAAAAAGAGGTAAGCCAAATAGGGGCAGAATGTCGCCATTTTTTGGTATTTTGAAATTTTGATGTATTTTTCTTGTTATTTGCGATATGCAATTATGTAACAAAGCATCTACATATCCCGTATATGATTTTGGTGCATATTATTTATCGCTCTAACTCTGTTGCAAAAAACGTTGTTATTTAGTCAAATTGTGACAACAGAACATACTAAACTAAAAAAACAATTTTGGCACCTCGTAACAACTCACATCACACTATTCCCTTCTTGTACCAGTCCAATAGTTTCTTATGAAACATTTTCTAGGCATTATAATAATACTGGAATTATATAATAATTATCCCTACTGTACAGAAATCACCCTGTATATGTCAAACGTTTATATAGTGATACTAATTATTCATGAGACTAATTATTTTTTATTCTCTGTTATTAACAAAAATAATTTAAATCGTTTTACTTAATTAAAAACAAAAAATTAATAACATAACATACCATTTGTTTACAAATAAATAGATTATTAAAATAATTATGGTTATCTTAAATCTAAAAACGTGCCGCCCACAGCTAATGGTTTAACGTAAAAAATATACGGGCTAATACTGTATTACGCATATTTCTGAGATAAATGTTACAAATCTATAAACAATTTTCCGCGTATGTGGTACAGTTGCTCTCGACGATTTCTATAAATTTCGTCATCAGTACTGTCTCGAATTGGTCCATCATGTTTTGCCTAACTTCATCCATGCAGTTCTGAAAATCTGCAGAATCTTCGCTAAAACACAAACACCCATCCAGGGTAGTTTTCGGATCGTTGTTGTTAGACATCATGTTCTTCGTATAAAAATGCATCCTGAAAAAAACAAGTATTTAGGCTTTTGAAAGTATTGTCATTCATTTTATACCTATGTATAACATATCCATCGCAAATAATTAGAAGACTGTCGATTTCAGGCAACCAACATTGCACGACTGGTACTATCAATTAAAAATCCCTAAATAAATTGAATAGAATCGCGAATGTTGTTGCATTTTAATGTAATCTTGATATAATTGTTTTAATCATTTTTAATTTTACCGGAATTTAACGTGAAGGGAATAAAGTTACTGTTTTAAACAAAATTACTGATCACGTGGCTTGTAATCATTTATAAAGGCTCTGTCTGTGTCTGTAGTATCATTTATGTGCGTAGATAATGCAAAATTTCTTTAAAAACACAGATACGGTCCTGTCGAGAACGGTTTATTAGATTATTGCCGATGGATAATATTTGTAATTATTGACTGTGGAGTGTTATAATAGAAATATATTACATTTTACACATGTTATTCCAGTAATTAATCAGATAAAATCTATTTGCATTCGTTAATTGTTCACCGACATTTTAACTGTTCTTTATCAAAATAATCCTTAGATTTTTCTGTAATGTCTTCAAATATTGACGTTCGGAATTAATCTAAATAGTTTTCAATCGTATTAACTTTCCAAATTGGAGAAATACGCACTAGTTTAAAAGTTGATAGCACTAAACAATTTTAAGACAATATAATATAGTGTATAGGCATTAGGCAACTTATTATGACAGCAGCCTGTATAATAGGTTGCCTATATTACAGTTTTCAATTACATTTGAAAATTTTAATTCAAATATAAAAATTGTGACAAAACAGTAGAATGTCTGTATTTTCAATTATTTTGTTATTTATCAGCAAACTACTAATAATTGTCTATAATCCTATGGTATTATATTCATACAAATATTTCAATTTTTCATGAGTTTCTACGATTTACATTTTTTATAAATAAATTATACGGGATGGTCAAAAGTAAAGCTTCTGTTAATACTTAAAAAAACAAAACCAGTTTACCTTGCCTCCCATATAGCTGTGCCGTTGGGATTGATGATACAAGGTTTCAATTCGCAACTCAGGGTTATGCTGTGAGGAGCTTGACCTAACCCCGTGTAAGATTCAAGTTCAGTGGCAAAGGAATCAAAGGTACCATTGTTAGGTTCGTCATCTGGATTCACCATGTAATTGCATTGTCTCTCAGCTACCTCTTCAGCGTGGTATATCTGAAATTGTAAACACGAGCCGTTTAAATGAACTATAAAGCCAAACCAGCCATGAGAAGAAGAAGAAGAAGAGGAGGAGGGTGCTGTAATCTTTAAAACATTATCTGTAATAATGTTGCAATTATACCCTAGGAATAAATGGAGGAAACGGGAAAAACTAATGGTACTATTTTACAGGCACTGTAAACGATGTAAAAAGATTATCTTCAACTTAAGGAGGTTTATCTGGTACGGAGGTACGTCTAAAAGTCTAACGAGAGTTTCTGTACATTCGCTAGTGACTAAAGTAGTAAGCCTTTAGATTTGGCAACGTTACACTTGGCTGGCTTTGTTTGGATGCCTAAGCTTGAAATACAGGGTGTTAAAAAAGAGTGTAAAATATTTAAGGAGGTAATAGTATGAACCAAAATAAGCAGAAAAGTTTCAATAAACATGGGTCCGCAAAGTAACGGTTGCGGAGATATGGAATGTTTTATGTTTTTTAGTCCCTTTTTTTATTTTGCAAAAACGTTGTGTATTTTCTTATAATAGTTGGTTGATGTTTAGTGAAATAAACAGTACGTATTTGACAGTTGTTCTCAGTGCACAAGTTTTCTTTCGCTATGGCTGGTTACTCTAACGCAGAATTAACAGACATGCATTTCATGTATGGTCGTGCTAATGGGAACGCCACCGAAGCTCTACGCCTTTATGTTGACGCTTATCCAAATCGCCAGATTCCTTCACAACGCATGTTTGGAAGAATTCACCAAAGATTGCGTGATACCGGTTCCTTGAGCAAACAGTGCCATTTATCCGGAAGACCAAGGTCGGTATCCACTCCTAGAGCAGAAGAAGAAATTCTAGCACTGGTAGAGCAGAATCCAGGTACGAGTGTGCGGAGAATATCAGCCGAGGTAGGAATTAGTGGTCCTCTTGTT